TAAATATATATGGATAGATAGATGCAGTATATAAAACGTACATACGCAATTGGGTGTATTTGCTAGCCACTTTGTTTGAAAATGTCCACACATATGTATGTATTCATATGCAGATCAAAGACTTACATGGACAGAACTACATAGGGGGCCGCAAACTGTCTTTGGTTTTTCTTTAGTATCTATAGCTAACATGTAATTGTACCATAGGGGCTCACCTAGTGCTTCATACGTATCTGTCCACATTTTCCGAGAACGCGACCAAACTCAGTACAGGTGCACTTTGTTGTGCATATGCATTTAACGTATATTTGACTAATACCACCACTTTCGTATCTGTCTGGTAGAATGTGTTGTATGTGTTGTATGTGTTGTATGTGTTGTATGTGTTGTATGTGTTGAGGGGTGTGTGTATATGTTCCTTTGGTTACTGAGGCTAGTTCGGGTTCTTCCTACTTCTGTACAGGTAAGACGTTAATTCATTCCACATTGACTATGGGATATCACAACACGAGCCTAATCCCACAAACTAGGAGCGAGTATATTCCTTCAGGGGATATACGGTTTAAGATTTAGGATTTGGAAACCCTAAAACCCTAAAACCCTAAAACCTAGGGTTTAGGGAGTGCAAGTTAAACTCACCCAAAAGCGCACTCCCCCAGGCGAACACCTTCGTGTGCTGTCGGTTATATTCCCGTGAGTGTCCGTCCAGAGATCCTCTTTCGTCATCGCTGCTATCCTTGTGTTGGATTAAATGAACTCGTTAGTAGGTGTGTATGTCTTTATGAGCATGTTATGGACATGGGGATGTAGTTGTTGTGTATGTATTGATGAGCATATTGTGCATATACAGATGTAGTTGTTGTGTATGTATTAATGAATATGTTGTGCATATACAGATGTAGTTGTTGTGTATGTATTTATGAGTATGTTGAGCGTATACAGATGTAGTTGTTGTGTATATATTCATGAGTATGTTGTGCATATACAAATGTAGTTGTTGTGTATGTATTTATGAGTATGTTGTGCATATACAGACGAAGTTGTTGTGTATGTATTTATGAGCATTGTATGTATGCGGATTGTACAGATAGAACGAGAAGAAAAAGTCACTTCAAAACGTAAACGGATCCAGGACACATCACACAGAGACGCGCCCAGGCGACGTATCGAGGACTCGGTGGATCTTTTAACGCACACCCACAAAACTCACACGTTAAACGCATTCCACACCTCTGGGGATAAACCCCTCAGAGCACGCACGCCTGGATGTACCATTGCCACGTGTACATGAAAACTCTCATGACACATTCACATACGCATAAGACCCGAGTACAGGCAGTGAACGCGCTCATGATCTTATCCCGTAAACGTATTCGCTTATATAAATTTGTACTGGTAAGTCCAATCTCACCTCGCCTACCGCTCTGGAGACACCCAACGCCAACGTATGGTACAGGCCAGTAGCACAGTCATTGAAGCGGAATCCGTTTAAACTTGGTACTAGTAGTGGTACACTTTGCTCATCCTGTACATGGGGAGAGTGAGGAATGCGTTATAAACGCAAACAAGTGAAGTTATGAGTATATAAATATATATATAGGGAGATGACAGAAAACAACTATTGCACCACAAATGAAGACAGTGGATGCGCTTGTTGAACCACAAATGAAGACAATAGGTGCAATTTTTGGACCGCAAAATGTCCCAAAATCCGTCTGGTAAGTTCTGCCATAACCTTTGCACGTCTCCTGCCGTAGTCTTGTCGATTGTATACGTTAGTAGGCTGAGGTCGGTGATGACCTATCATTGCGAGTGAGATGCCTCATGTTTGTGATAAGAGAGCCACTGCGCTATGTGGTCACACGGTGTGTGGCCGACATCCGCCAGAACACTTCGGCTTAACCTAATACTATGAACCCTATATACATGTCTTTGCCAAGCATATGTCTGTAGTATAAGCCATGTACAACCATAGCCACACACAGTCATATGATCCACCCATTCACATGCCTAGATACGTGTACAGCCAAAGCCACACACTCAGTCCTATGATCCACCCATTCACATGCCTAGATACATGTACAACCATACCCACACACTCAGCCATATGATCCACCCATTCACATGCCTAGATACATGTACAACCATGCCCACACACTCAGTCCTATGATCCACCCATTCACATGCATGCATGTCTTCACTCTGTCTATCTACCTCATCGTCGTCGTCTTCTGGGCCCCCAAATCCCGTGCTGAAAGAGAAGTGGTCCAATTCCTTGGCTGTCTGGCCATACATATTCGACCCCCTGAGAGAAGAGTGTACACGCATCTGATAGTGTGAGGCTACAATGGATGCTCCCTAAGCCCTTAAACGAAAAATCATTGAATACTTAGTATACGCGATGATACATATATACATACACACACATATATATATATATATATATATATACGCGTGTGATAGGCCATCCCAGCTGTGCGTGTGATAGTGTGTAGTTCTGACTTACCATGACATGAGGACACCATGGCCTGAGCCCTCCTCATCTGCCAACTCTCCGATGGCGACGGTGTGGCTATGCCCCGCACTGACGTTCATCAGAGGTCGGTCTATCATCGACAGCAGCACCTGAGGAGAAGGCAGGTGCAACGAAAGGATTGAGTAGGTATACGACCAACGGACACGATCGAAGTAAGATAAGTAAACTTAAGTAGACTGCGAAGGACTGCAGATTCGCTTAGACCGACAACAGCTGACAAAACGATCTGTATGAATATAGAGTGTGTCACAGGTGGACGTAAAGGCTTTGTGTGTGGATGGCTGGTGTTTAATTGAAGCGTGATCTATCCAGATGATACGTATGCTATATATATAGATACGAACATATGCATGTATGATTGAGTACTAAAATGAAATGTAGGTATGGACATATGCGTGCATGGCTGAGTTTTAAAATGAAATGTAGGTAAGACTGGCTCGTTGTGGATTGGGTATGTAGCTAGGCACACCAAGCTATAACAAGGTCTCCTGGCACATCCTGGTCCCAGTTTCAAATCCACCTTTATTATGTAACAATCGTGTCAAAGTAGGTACAACATTATCATGTGAAGGAAAGTGCGGTACGTTATGTTGTTATGTGAAGTAAAGCAGTACAGTATATCGTTCCCAGCGCACATGCGCTGTACGCGACATCGACAGTGAGTCACGAACCAGCCGGCAAGAGTGTGAACAAACCACACACGGTCCTACACCTACACTCCCTCTAACATAACAAACACACAGCCGTCTCATACACACACATGCAATTTAAATCAAACCCATAACAATCCTACGGACAACACAGCCAATGGTGACTCAGTGTAGTGTACCTGAGGCGTGGTGTAGCCCACACAGTCACCTATGCCCAGCTGACCGTCTGACCCTTGACCCCACACAAGACACACACGATCAGCAGAGTCGAGCCATTCTGGATGGGGTGTGTACATTTCAACTGGCAAGGTATCCTCTGAGAGAAGTGAAGGGAAATGGGCTTATAACAAATACAACAAAGACATATGAAAGACATATGAGGTGTGTACATCTCAACTGGCAAGCTATCTTCTAAGGGAAGTGAAGGGGAATGGACTTATAACAAACACAACAAAGACATATGAAAGACATATGAGGTGTGTACGTCTCAACTGGCAAGCTATCTTCTGAGAGAAGTGAAGGGGAATGGACTTATAACAAACACAACAAAGACATATGAAAGACATATGAGGTGTGTACATCTCAACTGGCAAGCTATCCTCTGAGAGAAGTGAAGGGGTATGGACTCATAACAAATACAACAAAGATATATGAAATTCATATGAGGTGTGTACATCTCAACTGGCAAGCTATCCTCTGTGAGAAGTGAAGGGAAATGGACTTATAACAAACACAACAAAGATATATGAAGACATATGAGATGTGTACATCTCAACTGGCAAGCTATCCTCTGAGAGAAGTGAAGGAGAATGGACTCATAACAAAATACAACAAAGATATATAAAATACATATGAGGTGTGTACGTCTCAACTGGCAAGCTATCTTCTGAGAGAAGTGAAGGAAAATGGACTTATAAAAAACACAATAAAGACATATGAAGGACATATGAGGTGTGTACATCTCAACTGGCAATCTATCCTCAGAGAGAAGTGAATAATAAATACAACAAAGACATATGAAGAAGTTATGTCTTATAAACAAATCCTAAACAAAGACACGTGAATGGGTAAAGTCTGATAATCAATTCAGCACATTGGTCGACGACGTCGCTTTCCACGGAGCTGTCTCGTGCTACTTGGTCTCTGTTGTATTTACTGAAGGGACAGATATGTGTCTAAAGGTCCAAGCAAACACGGACAATATACAAAACCTGAAAACAAGACACATCCACTACCACAGCTACGGTTGGTTTTCCCCGCACGCAACTTACTTTACTACCACCGCACACGTTAAGCCGCACAGATGGCAGTGTTGTATCTCTGAGACATCGAAGGTTTGCCAATATACGAAACCAGACCTCGACATCATATTGCGTGCACGCTGCCACTACTGTATCTTACATACATGTGCATGTACGTGTACATGTACATGTACATATACATGTACGTGTACATGTGCATATACATGTACATACGAAGATGGCAAGCACTTCATATGGCATAGTACAACGCACTACAATTCACATTAACACTAGCGCGCGGCACAGCGGAGTGGACAACTGATGCAAAGTACAGCATGGCACATCCAACGATCACTGACATCGCCAGATGAGAGCAATGACACACCACAGCAGACTACTCAGTCCTGAAGACCCGGAGACAGCCCTCGCAGTGAGTGGCTATCAGAATATCACTCCTTCAGTCGAGTCACGTATATCCGTTTATACATCTGATTCTTATTGGGGGGATATACAACACAGGAGTACGGATCACACATGAGTACGTCTGTATGCAGATAAAGACCAACACAGACGCCCAGTAGCAACCACACGCCTTCACCAAACAGTGCACAGCCTGTCGCAGTTGTTTCGCTCACCTATGTTGTCCTCCTCTGTACCATGGCTACCACCGTCTCCATTGGCCATATAGTCGTTTCTCCGCTCATCCTTGGGGACAATCCGATTCTTGATCCAGGACCATATACATCTGTGGGGTATCTGAATGTGTGTCGAGTTCTGAGGTATGCCCAGTAACAGCAGCACAAGAACGTTTCTCGTTATCAGATATTCGCAACAATTACACATTACATAGTGTGTACATGATTCTACAGAGACACCCCTGCAAAAGAGATCTAGATGATCGCGAGAATAGTATGTCAATAAATATATATATATGTATATATATATATATATATATATATATATATATATATATATATATATATATATATATATATATATATATATATATATATATATATATATATATATATATATATATATATATATATATAT